AGGATCAAATGACTCAGTTGAAGGCTTGGCTTGAACAAAGGTATAAAGACATAAAATGATAATGTTTAAGAATGGAGTTCCAAGTATCTTCAGAATTACTGTAACTAAGTATTGAGAGGAGAGAGGTCTTTTAGTACTAGTGATGAGCTTACACAAATATGCAGTGTTTAGGTCATGAGTTTGTCTCTGTTCTTGTTTGCTTATTTATTTATTTATTCACTCATTCATTTTTAAAAAATTTTATTCATTTTTAGAGAAAGGGGAAGGGAAGGAAAAAAGAGAAAGAAATATCAATATGTGGTTGCCTATCGCACGCCCCCTACTGGTGACTTGGCCTGCAACTGAGGCAGGTACCCTGACTGGGAATTGAACTGGTGACTCTTTGGTTTACAGGCCAGCACTCAATCCACTGAGTCACACCAGCCAAGGCATAATTTGTTTTTTAGATTCGATTGTTGTTAGTTATGCATTTTTTGCCATTTTATTGTTCATGATTTTTTTCTTAAATAAATCTCTTTAACATTTCATATAATAATGGTTTGGTGATGCTGAACTCCTTTAGCTTTCCCTTGTCTGGGAAGCTCTTTATCTGCCCTTCAATTCTAAATGATATCTTTGCTGTGTAGAGCAATCTTGCCTGTACCCGGCTTTCCATGGTTTTGAATATTTCTTGCCAATCCCTTCCAGCCTGCAAAATTTCTTTTGAGAAATCAGCTGCCAGTATTATGGAAACTCCCCTGTAGGTAAATAACTTCTACTTTCTTGCTGCTTTTAAAATTCTCTCTTTATCTTTATCCTTTGGCATTTTAATTCTGATGTGTCTTGGATTGGGCCTCTTTGCATCCATCTTGTTTGGGACTCTCTGTACTTCATGGACTTGCATATCTATCTCCTTCACCAAATCAGGGAAGTTTTCTTTCATTATTTTTTCAAACAGATTTCCAATTTCTTTCTCTTCTCATTCTGGTAACCCTGTGATGTGAATGTTCGACCTCTTGAAGTTGTCCCACAAGCTGTTTATATTTTCCTCATTTTTTTGGATCCTTTCTCTTGCTTGTTGTAGTGATAGGTTGTTGTTTGCTTCTTTATGTTCCAAATCATTGATTTGATTCTTGGCTTCATCTTCTCTACTGCTGTTTCCCTGTAATTATTCTTTATTTCAAGTAGTGTACCCTTCCTTTCAGACTGGATCTTTTTTCTGCTGTTGAGGTCCTCACTAAGTTCCTTGAGTATCCCTAAAACCAGTGTTTTGAACCCTGTATCTGAAAAATTGCTTATCTCTATTTTGTTTAGCTCTTTTTCTGGAGTTTTGATCTGTTCTTTCATTTGGACCATGTTTCTTTGTTTTCTCATTTTGGCAGCCTCCCTGTGTTTGTTTCTATGTATTAGAGAGAGCTACTTTGACTCTCTGTCTTGGTAATGTGGTCTAATGTAGTTGGTATCCTGAGGGTCCAGTGGAACAGCCTACCCTATCATGGTACACCTTTTCTGTGGGCTGAGTACACCCTCATCTTGTAGTTGAGCCTTGGTTGATATTGGCAGATCAGTGGGAGGGATTTGCCCAGACGAGTCAGCTGCAAGGATTGGCTGTTGCCACTTACCACTAACCTCCTCCCTCCATGGAGTATCCACTGTGCAGGGGCCAGGGATGGTGCTCTGATGTGGTCTGCAGCTGTACACTGGGTGTGCTGGCCCTGGGTTTCCTGTATGGTTCAGGCCACTGTCAGCCCCCACCTATGTTTTGCCCAGGGTCACCTTGCCTGTGTTATAAAACAGTCTGTGATAGCTGCTACTTGTGCTGGGCTTGGAGATTCCCAGGTGAAGCCATGCTGTGAATATAGGCTGGCTGCTGCTAGTGCCAGGCCTGGGGCTCACTGAGGCCAGCTATTGCTTGTTTGAGAGGATCTAGGAAGTTTCAGAGCATAAGCCAACACCAGACATTCATATGGAAAAGCATCTTGGATGGGTCCATAAGTTGGGTGGGATGGAGTCTCTGGGAATTTACAGGGTTAGTCAAATGGTGTTAGACAGTTTGATGGAGTCTCAGATATGGCGCCAGCTGGCTAGGATTGTTGAGGGGAGAGTTTAGAAAAGGTACAATGTCCTCTGCTGGCCCTGATGCCTGACACTTCAATTCTTCCCTATGTGCTACTGGTGCCTTTCAAGCTCCTACCTGGTACAGGAGCTTAGAGGGAGTGAGTTTTAGAAAATGAGTTTGTCTGTGGGTTATTTAAGAAGAAATGCTCGGGGCTCCAGAAGTTTCTTCTGCCGACTCAATCCTTGCTGGTTTTTGGAGCCAGAAGTTGTGGGGACTTATCTTCCTAGCACTGGAACCCTCGGCTGGTGGGCCTAGTGTGGGGTTGGGACTCCTCATTCCTGAGATATTCATCCTGAATTTTTATCTACTAGCCCCAGCAACCACCAATAACTTTTACGTTTCTGTGCATTTACCTGTTCTGAATATGTCATATCAATGAAATAATATAAGACCTTTCGTCTCTGTTTTTTTTCACTTACCATAATGTTTCTGAGGATCGTCTCTGTTGTAGCATTTATCAGTGCTTCATTTTTATAGCTGAATAATATTCTGTTGTGTGTATGTACTACAATTTTTTATCCATTCACTCATTGAACGATATTTCAACTTTAAGCTGTCTTATAAACTTCCATAGAATGAACAACTCTCAATTTCAAATATCTAAGAACACTGAACAAAACCTATTGACCTTCCTTAATTATCAAATGATCCTTTGCATAGAATAAGTAGAAATTTCTATTTATAAGTAGAAATAACAAGATAACTTTTTCCTTGTGTTGGCTAATTATGGTTTGATTCATGTTTCCAAAAGATGATTGTTAACTGCTTTGTCTCTACAGTCTTTCAATATGAATATTCCAAATTGTGTCTTAAAAAAACTTTTATTCCATATTGACTTCCACATATATAGTTGAACCTTGAACAATATGGTTTTGAAATGCATGGGTCCAATTATATGCAAATTTTTGCAATACATATATACAGTATTATAAATCTATTGTTCTCTTCCTGATGATTTTTCTTTATAACATTTGTTTTTCCCAAACTTACTTTATTATAAGAATACAGTATATAATACATATAAATTTAAAAATATGTGTTTATGAATTGCTTATGTTTCCTGTGAAGCTTCTGGTCAAAAGTGGCTATTAGTAATTAAATTATGGAGGAGTAAAGTGATACATAAATTTTCAACTGAGCAGGAAGTCAGTGCCTCTAACCTTTGAGTTTTTTGAAGGTCAGCTCTATTCTCCAATCAAATTATGGCAAAGCTATGCATTTTGGCAATTTTCTTCTTAGACTTCAAGTTTTATAGGCATGAAATATAAAGTGGAGTTAGGAGCATGATGTTTGAAGGAATAAGGATGTGAGTTTAAGTCTTACTTTTATAGCAGCAGCTTTCTTGGACACTCTCGATTTCAGGCATACATTAATTAATAATAAAAATACAATATCTTTAGAAAACAAATATATGCTAGAATCAGGGAATTCATACTGTGTCTAATGTAAAATAACATAAATAAAAATTAAATTAAATTAAATATTGTAATTAATTAAATAAATGGGATTCAAGGACACCTGTGTGTGTGTGTATTCTTGTATCTGGGGAAAAAGTCAGATTTATCAGAATTTATGTATTCTTTGATATAAAATGTTATGTTTTTATTTATTTATTTTTTAAATTTATATATTTTTATTGTATTTTTTCCATTACCATTTAGTCCCCTTAAATCTCTTTCCCCCACAATCAGCACAGAAAAAAATGTGATTTTTAAACTAGAGCCTAATCATTTTTTATTGAGAAGATATAGACACATTATTTAGTATCTCTTAACTGTCTCCTTCCCTTTAAAATAGAGCTAATAAAACACTTCCCTTGATTTAAAAAAGGCTAATTTTAGTAATGTGATTAAAGTTTGGAGCTTTAGATAGACATTAAATAACTCATTTTCCTTCTTTTTTCAAGAATAAAATATTTTAAAAATTTCCCTCACTTGTTTCAGTTACATTTTAATGTGCAAAATCACATTGTTATAAGTACACCCAGTGTTATCTCTCAGTTGATATATTTATTAATTTATCCTTTATTCATCAATATGTATTTATTGTATACAGTCTTACAGATATTTCATAATATCTGAAGATGCAATGACAAAGACAATAATGATCCTTGATTGCCATTTAACAGTAGTTACATTAGCAGGTAACAAGAGTTGTAATTGTCAAATACAACTATGTCCATAAACATTCATTCATTTATTGAAGAAAACAATTAGAATTTACTCTGGCATTGAATACAGTATATATCAGAGATTCGCAATAAATAAAAACAATGCACTGTCTTCTCACAATACTTCTTAATTTATTGAAGAAGAGAAATGAAAATGTAAGTAAAACAATGCTGCATTATAATACAATTATCTATGGGGTAATAGAAAGTACCAATTCTACTAACGTGTTAGAAACATTCATATTGAAAAAAGTTTAATGTAAGATTTCTGATGAAATATGAAACCAAGCAATTAGTAAAAACTTAGAGCAATGTGAAGACTGGTATATTTGTGTAAAAATATATTAAATTGTCTAGTTCGAGAAGTGTCAAACTGTAGCTGAGGTTGGAAGGAAGAGCAAGAATAAGAAAATAAAAAGCTTTCTAAAACATGTTAATAACTTGACCTTTATCACATAATTAATTGTAAATCATTTAACTATTTAAACTTAAATATTTAAATAGAGAATAAACATAAAAATCATTTCAGTATGATCCCTTATGCAATACTATGGATGATTAATTGGATTAAGACAATAACCAAAGTACTATCATCTTCTTGATAAACATGAAAAGAACCCTCAACTCTCACAAAACCATACTGTTAAATGATGACATATTTCCAAGAGGGTAGCTGACAGATAAAAGGAGAAGAGAGATTCAGGGCATTGTTTTTGCTAAGTCCATACCTGACTATTTGAGCCAGTTTCTCCTGCCCTTAAATATCTTGTGTATTGCAGACCTTATCTGTTTAGTTTTTAAGCTATAAATTAAGGGGTTAAGGACCGGAGTCAAGAAGAGGAAAAGGTTGGCCATGGTGACATGTAGAAGAGGAGATGTGAATGTACCAAACCTGTGAATTACAGCCAGCACAATAAGTGGCACATAAAAAATGCATACAGTGAAAATGTGGGAAACACAAGTGTTAAGCGCCTTGAGCTGGCCATCTTCCGAGGAAACACCCAGCACTGTTTTCAGAATCAAGATGTATGAAATGACAATGAAGATAAAGTCAACTCCAAAGGAGCAGAGGACAAGGAACAACCCGTAGATGATGTTGACTCTGACAGGGCCACAGGCCAGCTTCATAACATCAGGGTGATAACAGTAACAATGAGATAAATTAACATCTTTGCAGAAGGACAATCGTTTGAGCAGGATTGGCAATGGTGCCATTAACACTACACCCCTAACCAGGGCTGCCAGCCCCATCCCAATAATCAGAGGAGGGGTTAAGACCACGGTGTAGTGTAGTGGGTTTCGAATAGCTACAATTCGATCAAATGCCATGGCCAGTAGGATGGCTGACTCCATGGAGGAGAAGGTATGGATGAAGAACATCTGTGTTAGGCAAGAGTGGAATTCAATCTCTCTGTGATTTAGGAGGAAGACATTGAGTACTGTAGGTAGAGTTGATAAAGACAGACCCACATCTGTTGCTGCCAGCATAGACAGAAAGATATACTGAGGCTCATGAAGACTAAAGGTGGTTTTGATAACAAAGAGAATGATACAGTTCCCTAGGAGGGCAATTGCATACATGGCACACAGTGGGATAGAGATCCATATTTGTACAGCCTCCAGTCCAGGAATGCCTATTAGAAGAAGAGTGGGTGGCTGGAACCAGCTATTGTTTATAAACCCCATAAAGATATTTCTTGAAATCCACCCCAGGTCAGTTTCTAAATGTTCCTATTGAAAGAAAAACATACATTTTAAAATAGGACAGAATGCATGTGACTTCTCTGGACAGTACTAATTCTAGGCATCTTTACATCAAGGATTGATCTTAAGAATGTTTCCAAACCTGACTGAATAACTGCCTGAAATTAAGGCAATAAGTAATTGCTTTTCAAATGTTAGAGCTACTAGAGTTCTTTTGGCTTATAACACTTAATCATTGATCAAGTAACAATGAAAACTGAGGATATAATTTTGTTTTTATCCAGTGTTTAGAAAAATTTTATTCTCAGAACCTTTTCTATCTCTTTATTTATGTTTGCTTCTACTTTTATTTTTAGTCACCTTAGGTGAACTAAAAGTTTCTGCACTTAATCCACATCAACATCATGACTATAAATATACAGGTATCTGGAAACCTGGACAATTTTCCTGTTATTTATGCACAGAAATAAAGCACAGGATATTATAATAACCCACATGAATGATAAGGCTTTATAAAATTTGTATGATAGCATTTATTTTTGCAATTAATTTTTAGGTTATTTGATATGTTTTTTTTAAAAATAATATACTGATTTTTCAAAATACAAAAAAGTGATAAAAATAAAAAAAGTGGATATTGTCATTACTTCTTAGCTGGTACTAGAATAGTATCAAGCAATAATAAATAATTTCTCAATCACAACTCAAAATATCTTTATTCAATATATAAATATATATTAGGGAATAATGACAATTTTCAGTAAATATCTTAAAATAGCATAATTAAAGGAAAGGCTATTAGAACTTAAACCTTATAGAAAAAGTGGAAAGATATTATATGTAATTAATTAAATATAGTTAGATTTAAATCTTTTGTTTAAAATTGCAAGTAGAAACAAAATAGTGATGTAACTACATTTCAACATGAGGGATTGGGAAGAAGGGAAGAAATAAAACTAACCTTGTCTAGATAAACATAAAATCAAAACTCAATATTTTTGTAAAATCATAGTACTTAAAAATATGAGTATTTAAAAATACTTCCAAAAATAACAACACCAGAAAAAAAGTTAAAAATGAGTGAAAGATTTCTTCTCAGGTAAACAGCTATAAACAGGGAAGATTAGAATAAAAGATTAAAATGTTTTGCTCTCAACCAAAATTAGAAGTATTATACAGTTTTAAAAGTATGTAAATTTAAAAAAACAGAACTATCTATTTACAAATGTAAGTATATCTTGGAAAACTAAATCCCAGATGAGTTACAATGCATGCATACTCATCTATTGATGTACAGACCTACTCTTGTTCACTTATCCATTCATGTGGTCTTGTCAGTGAACATCTTCTATAGCCAACCATATTCATCCATAGTACGCCTAGTAAAAAGATTTTGCAAAGCATGCATTTTTAGCTGAGTTACTGAGTTAGCCCCTCATAAGCAGTGCTCAATCAGAAGGCCAACTTCTTAAGGACTTAGAATGCTAAGCTTTATTTAATTTTTTTAGGTGTTCATGTAGAGTATGAGAGTCACTCATGTTGAAGGAAAAAAAAAGGGAAGACCATCATGGTTCATAATAGACTGGGGCATCCAAATATACTCATATTCAGTAAATCAACATACTGCATTCCACAGGACCCTCTTATAAACATAAAATTCTTACCTACCACAATACACTATGTACTTCATTTAGACATACATAAATATACACACTGCAGGTTTTTATGTACACATATAACCAACTTTTCACTCTTTGCTTTAACTATCTTCCAGATTATCTTGGAATTCATTCTCCTATACTTTATAGATGTCACTTGTCTTACCCTTAAGTTTCTGGCACCATTCCAATCAGAACAACCACCAAGAGCATCAATGCCACCATCAATACACCTGCAGACACCCATGTAAAACTCAAGTATATACTCGGTTCATATTGTTGTCTATTATTTTTAATACTTCTTGGTCCTATGTGACTAGTCCTTTTCAATGAGAATGTCTTTTGTTTCAACTGCATTTTTTTCTAATCACGCTCTACTCTAGCCAGGTTGGTTAATACCACCATGTTAAGACTTAATCATTTCCACCTCAGAATATTTGTACAACTCCTGAAATAATATCAAATGTCATCCTGCTTTACCACAATTGATAGTAAGTAACTCATTGATTAAAAACCAATTTCCATCCAACATTCTATAAAATCTTTCCAAGACTATTTCATATTAGAAAAATGTCTCCAGCTATTAAATTCCTTGATTACACAGCTTTTATCTTATCATTTGTCACTTACTACATATGGTTTGATATTATCTCCTGATTTTACCTGGATGTGTTTTTCTTATCCAACTGGACTTTAAATACTTTAAAAATTTGAATTTCACTCTTCACACATTACATCATAAAGAGAGTCTAACACTGTTTTGGACATGAAAGGATTATGATAAATTTTGCCCACATAAATAAAAGACATATTTAGAGATTCCCACTATAGCATACAGTTGCTAACATTTAGCAAAGATTTAAAACTCACCAGTGATTCAGGTTTCCTTTCAAACTTTGACATAAAAAATATTTTGGGTAGATAATTCTCCCCACTGATGTTTATTTTAGAACTGAAGAGTAGATTTCACTAAATTTGAAAGGACAACAAAAAAGATGTATAATCAGGTAGAGAATATAAATTTTAGTGTTTATCAATCTATTCAATTTCCTGTTGTCTTTGTGTTGGGTTTCCATTGATCTATGCTGGATTACCCAGCCTAGCCAGAAAGATATTTTACAGACTATCTCTGGAGAACCAAAAGAAAGTTAACTTTTCTAATTAAGTATATCTTACTTTCAACCTCCTGAAAAATCTTTTTAAGATGTATAATTTCTTCAGTCTTGCCCCAGAGCCCAAAACAAAGCTTTGGTTTCTCACATATGCACTGTGAATTCCCATCAGTTAACCTTGAATTTCATAACACTTTTTTTGGTGCCTTGATTAAGCTTCTGTATTCTCACCTTTTTCAACTCTCCATATTGTTTCATTTCTAAGGACATTGAGCTTCCATGACTTTCATTCTGAATCTATTGAAAATTGCTGTTAAGCACCTCTTAAAGAGGATGCCACCTATTATTTTAAATAAAATAACTCCAACAGTTATTTTTATGTGTTGTGAAAGCTCTCCATGAAACCAGCACCTTCAGTATGGGTTGACAAGTGAAATCAGCAACACAATTCTTCTCTTTTAATTTCACCCTTCTTAGCATAGACAGAGAATGGATAGTTTATTGTGAGATGTTAGAAACCTCTCAGAGAGGTATCTGTCCAGCACCAGAATTATTTATTGCAACAGAGAATCTTCAATGGAAGGTGCCAGAGGGAGGTTATCAAGTATTCCCATGACGTAGAGGTTTTTAACACACATCAAATGAGATGTCACAAAAACAAATTATTTGGAGGTAAGGCCATACCAAACTTGCTTTTCTCAACACTCCAAGGTCCTTATAATTAATCACACATTCAAACATGAAATGAGTTGCATTATTAAATTTCATCATAAATATGTGATGAGCCCTTCTTTAAAAGTGATTTTTCCAAAGTGACTCTTAAGTATCCAGATTTAGTTTTGATCATTTCACAGGTAAATCATTTGAAAAATGTAATTCTCCATTTTCTTTTTGAGAAGCTTGATGTTGGAAACTATTTTTCTCATTACCATTATGCATGTCCATTATTATATTGTTTTACAACATTGTGATGTCATAATTTTTTGAGAGATACAGAATAATTTGTTAGACTGAGTTAGCATGGCCTCATTAAAAATTATTTTGTTTTCTCCCCCTTTTCTTTGTGAAAAGCTGTTGATTATAAACTATTTTTCTCTACTTTAAATAGGCTTTATTAAGTTTTTGCTGTGATTATTTTTTCTCCTCAAAGTTTTAATCTTTATTTCTTTATTAGGAATAATAAATAGGAAGCCTAGAATAGTACCAAGTATATAGAAGGCATTCAATATATACTTGATCAATGAAGAATAAATGGTGCTGGGGACTTTTGCTTTTGGTCAAAATGGAGGAAGAGAGATTGAATTTATCTTCCAATAAAAAACAACCAAAATAATTAGATAAAATGTACAAAGCAACAGGTTTTTTAAAAAGTTTGTCAAATATTTTACTTATTCATTTTTAGAGAGGGTTAAGGGAAGGAGAAAGAGAGGGAGAGAAACATTAATGTGTGGCTACCTCTCGCATGCCGCCTACTGGGGACCTGGCCTGCAAACCAGGTATGTGCCCTGACTGGGAATTGAACTGGTGATCCTTTGGTTTGCAGACCAGCACTCAGTCCACTGAACCACACCAGCCAGGGTGTAAAACAGCAGTTTTCAAGACAATGTATATCTGGAAACAACTATAATCCCTGAGAGAGAACAATATATACAAAATAAATTAAAAAAAAATAAATCCTGCGATTACCTCAGGTAACTGCTTTGAGAGAGCTTCCAAGCCATGACAGCAGAAACCCAGACAGAGCCCATGAACTCCCTGAGTTGAAACACCATGGCTGAGAACCAAAGGAAACCGAAAATTCTAAAATTATTTGGACAGAGTATCAGAGAAGAGAGAACCAACAGCACAAAGAGAGAGTTTTGAAAGTTTTCAAAGGCTCCCCAGAAATGGTCTGACACCAATTACAATGTAGGGGAAAGGGAGGTTTCCCACACAGCCAAGGAGCAATCATCCAACAATTGAACTCAATTCTGACAATTTCTACCTGGAAATAAAATTAGATTTCATAGATTAAGAGTTAAGTCCCACAAGACCTTCTTAAGGTTTCAATTGCAAGCCCAGGTGTTATTTGTGCTTCTGACCAACTGGGTACAGATTGGAGGTTCCCACAGTCATCCACCATCCCCCCACAGATTTAATGCAGACACCAATTGCAAGTCTAGGTTGATGCTTATCTTTCTGACTGACTCGCTATAAACTAGAAGTTCCCATT